GAGGCAGATTTTTGTTTTAGATAAACTCATACTGGCTTCAGACGGGCACATGAAAAACAGAATTGTCAAGTTAAGCTGCCTGATGTACCTACCCCTCCACCTCCATGAACAATTCTGTATTTATAATGTCATCTTATCACGCTCCCCTTGAAGGCAGCAGCAAGTGCACTTATGCCTTTCTTTGTTAGGGTGAGTTGGCAATTTCCTGTGAGATGGAGCAACTGCAGGCAGCCCTTTTCTTTGATAATGTCCCTGACACCTGGACCAAACCGCTGTTTCCATCACTTTGCAGGCTGGAACAGGAGGAAAGGAACATGTCATAAGCCTCCTGCCACCCAGAGTCACTCACTGTGCATTTAACAGCACTCTCCTCACTACACTTTCCGGGATGTAGAGGTCAGAGCCAGAGGGAGATTCTTGCGCTGAAAGTTGTCTTGCTGAGCTGCATCAAAAGTAGGAAGTCAGTATAACCCCTCTTTTCATCTTAACATTTCATTGCCTTTTATCATTGTCCGAAAAATATGTACCCAATTATGTTGTGTGTAGTCGCTGAAATGACTTTACATGGTGTAGCATGTTACGTTTGTACCATGTAAAGCTGGTTATTAATCAGTAAGCCTGAAAAGGTGTTTATTACAGAGGCCTGACAGATTGATTCTAAATTATAATTAATCAGTTGATTTTGACCCACAGATTGTGATTGTGCCCTGTGAGTTTCATTTATTCAGCTTTTCTTCTGGCTCTACTACAATCACCGTAGACCTGCAGGACTCCCAAGCAAATTAACAGTCTTCACGCTACCCTGCAGCCATAATGAAAATATCAGTCAATCAAAAGCCATATTATGCTGTGAAATCCTACCACATATCTCCAGACCTGCATACAAATAGAAACTGCAGAATAAGCGCTCAAACTGTTTCAGCTTTATAACTGACAGAATATCAGTGACAATATTTAAAAGCCTTGCTGCACTGAGCACGTCCACCTGAAGCACCACTGCACTGAGATTCTCTACTTTTGTTGTCTGCTGACGTGCAATAAGGGAGATAATCTGGATATTGAGATCCTTTGAGGGGGAAATCCAGCCTTAATTCCTGGAGGTAGGAGAGCAGGGCATGCAGGGAAGTGGGGACCCATCTGCGACCTGTCTGCAGGTCCGGTGATGTATAGCTGTGGGCTGGACGGCCACAGTCAGGGCTGTGTGTTGCTGCTCAGTGTGCCATGGCATTCAGGGCACTTCAACCCCCAGTCCCTCCTTACAGGTACCCCGCAGCCCACCACCGTGCGCTACTCATTTACTGCTACACTGGTTTTCATAATTAGCGCCGCAAGGCCTCATTAAATCTGCTCTAATGAATAAATATTGTATTTCATAGCCTGATTACCAGATCAGCTCAATGCTTGAGCGTTGTAAACAATTACTTCCCTAAATATTCATCACCCCAAAGTGGATGATCATTGGTATTTAATACAGGACTAGTATTTTCAAGTGCATCTTTATTATACTAATAATAGTTTTTGAAATGTTCCTTTTGGAGGGAAAAAAGGAGGAAAAATTAGGAATTGTTTATTAGAAGTTGTTTTCTTACTGCAGCCTTAAACAGATATTAGAATCATAAGATGATGGTTTTATTTATGTACTATTTCATAAATGAATATAATACAAATATCCTAATCCTTTATTTTTTTCTTTGCACCACAGAGGTGTCAGTTCATCTACATAGTCATTTTTAACCATTTGCCATAATTCATTTTCTTATTAACTGCATTATATGAAGAAATATATTATATATAAATATACATTATGTTCTGCTCATATATAAATGGGACTAGACAAAATAAAACACAAATTTACATATACTACAAATATATCTAATAAATAAATCAAATCTTTCCATTTTGGAGTTTTTTCAATGTTGTTTATTGTTGTGTCAATATCTGTAATATTGCTGTCAATAATATTGTATTTTATTGTTTGGTTTTATTGTTATATCAGTAGTTGTGTAATTAATAAAGCCTATATATACACAAACTTAATTAGGAATACACAGCAATGATAGAAGACTATTAGATTATTAAATCACAGAGCTTAGAACAGTCTCTGTTACTTTAGTCACTTATACACACAAAGTCATTTCAAAGTGAGACTTTAAATACGATTAAATGGCTCGATCACTTGACTTGAGTCAAATAACAAATTTAAATCTTAAAGGGATAGTTTGACATTTTTGGAAACATGCTTTGTGCTCTTGCTGAGCGTTAGAAGAGAAGATCGATACCACTCTCATGTTTGTATGTTTAATATGTTTCTGGAACCAGCACCCAGTTAGCGTAGCTTAGCATTAAAAACTAGGTCATAAACATAAACATGGTGTAAAAGAAGTGGACATAGCTTCTGAGTCTGAAAAGTGAAGCCAATGCAGAAGTGCCTTAAACCTGCAGTCTGTCAGTGGTTAGCAGTTAGCGACTCCAGTGGTTGCAAAAAGAAGTCAGATGGTATAGAAGTCTATGAGAAAATGAACCCGACTTCTAACTTAATTTATTAGCTCAGTAATCATTATCCTAATGAATTTATGGTCTCAATCGCTACTTTAGTTTTCTTTAATACAGCATGATGTTCATTTAGTAAATTATGGTCACTACCACTGTGACCAGTCAATCAGAATAGAGGCGTGCACATCCATGGCAGTGTGTAAAAATAGCAGTAAACTTGTTTTTGGTTGCCATCCCTGTTTACATCTTTGAGCCTTTCACTGTGTTTTCAGTTTATTAAAGTTAACTGTAACCTTTTGGTCACCTAGAAATTACTTATTCAGTGTTTGGTTGTACTAAAAGACAGCTGTTAATTTTCTTCTTTTGTTTTAATCCTGTTTTCCCAATTAATATCAGTTAACATGAATTACGGATGCACCTTGCGAACGAAACTAGCTCCAAAGAACCGAGATGGCGACAACCAAACTGCTCGAGGCTTCAAAACGGTAGTGGACAAACCAATCGGTGAGATCACAGTGGCTGCATCCACTTCTTTTATCTGAATGAAGGCAGCACCATGTGAGGATGTGATACAGTGGTGTGTAAATATAGTAAATATAGTAGTAGTCATACAATGCAGATTTTGTTTTGCTATATACTGAACTCATAAAAGTGCTCAGTAGTATGTTTTCTTGTGTTGTTTTCACAGCAGTGTTTTTTGAGTTCCTGTGGGGAAGTGCACCACAACACAGCTGAGATGGTTGTCTGTCACACAGGTATTAACAACCGTACCTAAGAGAAAATCATATATGTACACAATTGAAAACATTTTATACCTGAAAATGAATTACCTTTAATCTGCTGTATACTGCTGAATAATCCAACAGGTATGTTCTCACTGCCTCCATGAATAGCAGCAGTTTGGTACACTGTGTTTGTAGTGTCTCTGTGGGCTTTCTTCATCCTCTAGGTTCTGTCATCGCTGCGTCTGCAATCCATTTGCTTAAAGCCAACATTACGACCACTGACAGGTGAAATAAATAACACTGATTATCTGGTTATCAGGGCACCTGTCAGTGGGTGGGACATATTTGACAGCAAGTGAACATTTTGTCCTCAAAGTTGATGTTGAAGTGTGAAAATTCAACTTTGACAAGAGCCAAATTGTGATGGCGAGACGACTGTGTGAGATCCAACAGATGGTGGTTATAATGTTATGGCTGATCGGTGTAAGTACGAACAAGTTTCTGGCATAAAACCAGAAAGTTGGGGTGTCCACCTCTTTAGTTATTTCTTTTTTAACAAACAGCAACCTTAGCAACCATATTAACACTTTCAGTACCATTTTACAATTAGCTACATTCATAAGCTATAAATAGCCAACATTAGCATTAACAGCTGTTTAGTCACCAGTCTAGAAGGCAACGTCCCTTTACTCACCAAGAGCCATTAACGTTAACTCGTTTTGCTACAGTGACTCACTATCGCCTCTTGAGGTACAAAGTGGTATCACAAGACAGGACAAGCCAGCAGGCTAGTTGCAGTAGATATCTCTGCGACACAATACATACGTCAAAACTGTTATTTCTTTTTTTTCTGTTGATAATTTTGTTAATTTTTGAATGTTTTAAACTAAAATTCTTACATATAGAGCTGAGCAGCTGTAAGATCCCCCTATAAGGTGATCTGATGTTCTGTGCGTGAAGCGTTGACAGTATATATAAAGGCAGTGAGTGTGTGGGCTGTAATGGATTTTTTTGTGGACAGTTCAAGGTGTGACCCCTGAATTAGAAGCAAACAGGAACTTTAGTGCTTTTATTTATTATTGTTAACACAGAGTAAAGGGAATAAAGACCCTTATATCAAAATATCATCTTGTGTGTCTCTTTAAATACTTTACTGCAGCAATAGTTGCAAGTATGCGAGTAATTTAGGTACTAATTTAATGTCTGCCCCTGATTTTAGCACTGAAACAATCACATTGATAGAAAAAAGTATTTTATCGTGCAAAAATGCTAAAGATTCACTTGTTTCCAGCTCAAATGTGAGCATTTTAAATTTAAAGTCTTTGGATTTTAAAGTTGACCAGATGTGAACTTAGTCTCTGCAAAACTTTAATGGGCAATTTTTAATATTGTAAGATTTTATAAGCTATACCATTTGTGTACAGATATATAACATATGTAGACACATTACATAATTGTTTTCATATTGAATATTTATATTTAATTTTATTTGTGTAGTACCTTTAATGAAGGCTGTAAATTATCTGACCCATTCAAGTTTGGCCATGCAGTTCATTGACAAGTCAACTTTTACTCTCTGAAGGATGCAACTTATGAACCTATAAACACTGACTGCAGCTCGCCAACAGCGAAACATTAATAAACTTCCAGCCTTCACACTCATTAAGATCTTCAATCACCAGCAGCATTCAGGATTCCTCCTCCACGTTTCAATAACAGTAATTACAGCTGCCACTGTTCTGGGTAGAGTGATGGTCAAGTCAAAGAAAACTGATAACATGATTCTGCAGTGATTAACGCTTTAATGAAAATGTACAGTTTAACCCAATGAACACAAAGCAAAGCATTACCATAGCAGATATTCCCCATCAACAGCTCAGCGTAGCTCCTCCTGTTAGGAGTGCAGCGCCTGATAAACAAGCAGCGGTAAGATAACCTCCACCTGCCATTACCTTGGAGAAGAAATCTCAACCGTTGATTATTTTGAAACAGTATCATATAATCAGAGTATGTCCTGGTGCAGGTCGAATGAAGTACATTTCAACGATGAACGACACAAAGGTTAATTCCATGTCATTTCGTGTAGAGTATTACACTTCTGAACAGAAAATGCAGGCCATAACTCTATTGCCACTTCAGTGGCACCTTCAACCATTCCTACTTAACAGTGTAAGGCAGAAAATGAGCCAAAGAGACTGGAGCAGAGCGAGAATGTGCTTTAACAGGATAAAATGATTTACAGGTATGAGATTCCCATTAGAGTGTGCTAATTGTTTCCACACCATTAGTGACAGTTATCTAATGAAGGATATTTAACCAGGCGCTGTAGTATATCACACAGTACCTCGGGTTTAGAAGTGAGAGGCAGTGGACCCCCACTCTATGCCCTTTCCACCTGCACCACCTCAGTGCCGTGCAGATCATTCGACCATTTCTACAGGACATCCCAACTAGAGCAAATATTTTGTTTAGTTGTGTTTCTTCCACCCTCAACATTTAGCAGATTTACAAAAAGCTATGTAACTTGTAAAAAACACAAGAATACATTTGCAACTAGGAAAAAAAAAAAGGCACAAAGACAAAATCCCTCAGAGGCCAATTCATGCTGTGTAAAATATATACATTTAAAACAATGTAGAATACAGTAGATCATCTAAACAAGCCAGATTGTTTGCAGCAGGTAGGATAATTCGTTTTTTTTACATGCTATGGGAATATGTACATCAATCATCTTAAAATATTTAAGATCACAGAGGGCTATCACACACAATTTAAGGTGGTTTTTTTCCCTACAATGTGTTTTGCTCCACCTCAGTTTACATATAATCAGTCCAAGTGTAAATAGGCTCAGCTCTTGTGGACAGAACAGAAGTAGGAGAACAAAATAAAAACAGCTTTATACTGGAGAAAACTGGCTGTGTGCGCCTCCTCCAGATGTCACTCAATGTTCAAAAATCATGTGAAACTTCACAAACAGGAACAATAAGCATCGTTGTTACAACGTTTGAAACACTAGGGACAGTATTTGGACTTTCTGTGCATTTAAAAAAATGGTCACAAAGTTCGTCAGTCAGGTCCAGGATCAGCTCCTTCGTCCATGCTTCACTCGCTACCCTCTTCCAGCTCCTTCTTCAGGCTGCAGTGAAGATAAGAGAACCTCAGTGTTAAAAACAGACATTTCATTATAAAATAATAAAATAAAATAAAAATAAACAAACACTAATGGTCCACTCACCTTTTCAGGTAGGCGTGCACATTATCAAAGCCGTGATATTTAGCCAGGTAAACCAACACTCCTGTAGCACATCGACCGTCTCGTGCCCGACAGAAGCTGCAGTTACAGATCCCTCTGCATGGCGGGCACTGCCACTCCTAACCAGGGACGACGAGAGATTATAAAAATCAGTCAGATTTGCCCAACACACACACACACACACACACACTGTATGTTAAGGTACTCACCGGATTCAGCAGAGCGTCTCGGACCTCCTCTCCGTAGCGATTACGGAGACAGGGTCCACAGAACTGACCCCTCACCCCCACACACTCGGGGTTACGGCAGTTGGTTTTGGTGTCGATTGTTTTCTGGCGGCACTGGTGGCAAGTGGATCCCTGAAAACAAGAGACAATTTGTATCCAAAACAAGCTTAACGCACAAACGCAGCAGATTTCTTCGTCATTACAGTGAATGTGGGACCTACAGTGGAGCTGTTGTAGACTTTCTCCCGCACGTTGTGGCAGATTCTCTGCAGCTCCGATTCTGTGATGTCTTCCACGGGCCGCACTTGATGAGGGATGGCCTTGGAGCCGTTGAAGGAACGGCGACGGGGCTGCACATGAAATAAATGTAGTTAGTCAGAATGTGATTCATGTCTGTACTGTGCATTCGGAAAATGTGATGCCACATAAAAAAGGCGGTGAGACTTGTTCTGATATAACTTACTGGCTCCTCGTACTCCTCGAAGTAGCGGCTTTTGCGAACCAGGCTGAACTTGTCCTCGGGCTCTTCCTCTGGAGTTGGGCTGGGGGGTCCGTCCACCAGCGTGCGGGACCGCGTGTGGGGTCGGGACAAGCGCTCCGGGTTTCTCCTACGAGCTCCTGGAGTTCCCATGGACCTCCGGGGTGCCTGTCGAGGCTGAAGATATTGATATAGAACCAATTAATACAGAGCACTGATAAAAGCACCACACGCTGAGGTGATGATGAGATGTGAGACGACAGATTTAACTATTTATCTGCAGGTTTAAATTACCGTAGTGGACGCCGACATCGCCATCCGCCTTGGGAAGAGACCAGGTACTTTGTTCAGCTCTGCCATGAGCTTTGCGAGCTAAGAATAAATCAAATATGAATGAGAGATATGGCACAATGACAATGGAGGCTGTTCTGGCCAGAGTCCAGATTATAGTAGCAATTAAATGTGAAAAACAAACACAGAAAATTGTACCATTTCTTTGTTCTCCTTAATATTCAGGGCTCTCTTGTCCATGAAGTTCTCCTCCTCTTCAGAGTCGGGGTGCTGCACTCTATTTTGAGCGAGTGGTGCCGACGCAGGCCTCTTCCTGCCCGTCTTCTTGGTGGGGAATGTCATGGCGACCTTCAGGACGTTGGATCTGCGGCCACGTCTCGGAGGCTCAGAGTCTACTTTCTGAAAGAACAATATAACTTACAGTTAGAAGGAAACTTTTGGTTGTGTCTGATGAAGTTCTGAAATATGTTGCAACTGTAACTTTACCATAGCTTTCATCTGACGGTTGATCACGGTCTCCTCAAACCCGCTGCATGTATCCTCCTCTGATGTTGCCTCAAACATCTTCGCTTTCTCTGCCATCCTCCTCGTCTGTCTTAAGCTGCTCCTCTAAACACAGACACAATCTTTAGTTGCAGATGGTGCCGCTAAAGACTCGACACATTCGCCGTCCTCTTTTTATTGGGAATAGCGAGACTTGGTATTTTATCGTTACCGTATTTGCAAAGCCTCCGTCGGAGCCGAAGCTATCGCAGCTGTCGTCGGAGGACGAGGAGGAAGTTTCCATGGGAACCAGCGGGGAGCTGCGGAAGCTCCTCAAACTCATCCTGGTAGATGGAGGCTGGGCTGCCAGTTTCTATGGATGACAACAGGTACGTTTATAAAACAGAGACCGTCAGAATATTTAGAGCAGGTTGTGTTTCTTATATAAGCACCAATTTATGAATTTGTACATTTTACATAAACTGTTGGACTTCATCAAGTTACCTTGCTTCAAATGGTTTACAGTAAGGCTACAGGTAAGAATTACTTACATTATAAATTAATCGTTTGGTCAATAAAATGTCAGGAAACGTCAGAAAGTCCAAAACCTAAAATAATTCAATTTATCACTTCTATCATGGAGACTTAAAACCTGCACATATTAAAGTTTAAATAGCTGGAACTAGTTTATTTTCTGCTTAAAATGTATTTAAGTTATTTGTCAAAGTGGCCAATTTGCACTAATGTTCTGTCAGTGGAGAAATCAATGAATTGACTAACCTAAAGTTTCAGATATAAAGTTAATTTAGCTTATGGGACACACCCCTGACCTTTCACAAAGTTAGACACATGTAGGTAACTGGATCATCTATAATGACTCTAATCTTTATTTATAATTATATAATAACGTAGAGTCATCATATATAAATCATCATATAAATAATTAATTATGTTAGCTTGAAGTTAGCAAACTCTGAATCGTTGAATTAAATGTTAACCTAACAGTTACAATGTGGTCATAACAGGATGTTTTATAATCAATAAAATAAACTCACACACTCTTGCTGATAATTGATTAAACTGTAAAAATTAAAAGTCAGTTTTTTCTTACCATAGAGCGGGTGGATGGCATTTTTCTTGTAGTAATCGTGCCACAGACACAGACACAGACACGATGCTGCAGCTCTGCAGTGAACAATAAAGGACCTGCAGCTGCATCAAACACATAGCGTTCATTTCCCGCGCCACGGGAAGGTCCTGAAAGCTGCATAAAACCTAAACCAGGTAGTTTAACAAAATAATAAACTTATATTAAACACTGGTGGTCAAATACATATCAGAAACTCATTATAGATGTTTTAAGATAGGTCCGCCGTTTGTTGCATTAATCAAACTTTACAAACTAATGAATTTATGAGGCGTTCAAGGAACCAGAGCGGTGGTTCTTCCAGGTACTGCACCGTGGCGCGAGTTTTTTATTTGACTATTTGCATGCAAGGCGGGTAAAATGTTGATCTCTATCCAGGTTCATAAACAGGTCAGAATTTGAAAGATCATAATTTTGTGTGCTCAGACCTTTTTATTATACTAGTCTATAATTCAGACTCATTTCACATTACATCAAAGATATTTGTTCAGATAACAAACACATGTGGGTTAGCGTTAATAAAGGAATTAAATTTATTTATAAAATATTATAAAAATTATATAAAGGTTATTGGCAAAGGACACAGGAAGGAACTTTAATTCAATAAAGCTGAATAAAAAGGAGTAGGAGGATAGGAGATGAGACTGGCAGCAAAACTGAGATAATACAAAAAACAAGGTGACAAAGCCGGAAGTGGATGTGATTGAAGTTTCAAAGAGGAGAACATAACACAGCTAGGTGTGGCACACCAGGTCGAAGACAACCTTGCACTTCTAAATGTATATGACTCCTGTAATACTCTACAGAAAGAGACACAGCAAAGAGGAAACTCACAAAGTATTTGAAGAAATGCACCACAGATTCTGGTTCCTTGTGAGAAACTGAAGCTGATAAATACATTTATTTTATGCATTAACATGGTTGCTGTGCCATATACATGTTTACATTATCTCTATACCAAGTTCACTGTTTACACTCAGCACAACATTAACACCCAAACTGCTCTAATGCACGTTGACCCTCATAAGGTTTAATTTGACCCACCAGATGTTTCTAGCTAAAAGAAAATAATAATAATAATAATGTATAACATAAAATACAAATCACTTTTTATGCTGCTTTATTGTTTGTTAGATAAAAGATGTTCTTTAAATATGTAGGATGTCATAATCTGAGCACGGTGTGACACAGGAAGTCAGTCAATGAAGGGGGACTTGGGGTCGATGTACCATTTTGCATCTAATCAATACAGAACAATTGGTGTTTGATTCTGGCTCACGGCCCACCATTAAGCTTCAATTTGACTCACCAAGGGGAAAAAGTTTGAGCACTCCTTCAACCAAACACATCTCATAACACTCACAATCTGCCAGTCTGCCAACAGTAACACTCAAAGACCACAACAGGAAGCATTATGTATCGCTATTGTTTTTGAAGCATGTTTGATTTATTTATTTATTTATTATAAACCAAGAGTACAACCAAAAGATCACTTCTTTATTAAATTGATTGTGTTACATCACAGTTTATGTTACAGAAATCAATCAGAAATCCTATAATTTTCTTCAATATGCTTGATTTTTTTTTACATATTTGCTCAGAGTAATTGCAAATACAAAACTATACATTGTTCCTATACTTACATGTATAGGATAGCTACAGATATAGAAAACAACAATGCTAGTCAACCCAGTCTTCTGCATTTCATATCACAACCTTACGTCCTTTCCTGTAATACACCTGGGAAGTAATCTTGCACGTCTGATCCCTGACAATCTTCTGCAAACATTCAGTGTTTATTGCATCCAAGACATGTGTCTATGTGGTTGGTGGTCATAAACTCTTCAACTTCTCATGAGGACACTAATTCCTCTGTATGGGGTTGAAGGATGGAGAGTAAGGTGGAAGGACAAGTGACCCCATGACTGGAAGAGACCGGTGGAAAGCCATATTGTTGCCTACAATTACAAAATGTTTTGGTTTCTGCCTCACTTTCCACACCGGTCTTTCATAGAAGTCATCCTTAAGTCATTAAGGAATACAAACACAGTGTTGTTTGTCCTAATTAGGAGCATTTCTATTTATTTCAGATGTAGATGTAGCAGAATGTAGATAATTAAAGTAATTTTGTGTTACGTTTATGTGGTTTGGGTGACAAAATCGATATGGTCACTGAATGTGTTTTGTGTCAAAGAAATGAAAAGTGATCCACAGTTGAGTCCACATACACATAGTTTTTAAAAAAGTGAACTTCTATTGAGGAATTTGAGATAATAATAGTAACAAAAAAAGGTTTTTATAATAACATTAAATACATGCTGAGTGTGCTCATTTTGGTTTACCTGACAGGAGCCTGTTTAAAAAAAATAATAGCTTATGTTCACATGTGTAGTATATACATCAGTGCGAATCTCTAACAACTAGCAGTTCATTTTTGAGCCTGTAACCAGACATGATTCATATGTAAAACCTTTTCAGCACACGACATGTTCAACACACAAGAAGCTGTCAGTCCATGTGTGGCCCACATTAAGTTCTTCCACCAGCGCCACGCCCTCCCCTGCCCCCTCTCCTCTGTCGACCTCTGACTTGTTTATTGTCCTGACGTGGTAATCTCTTCTGTCGCTCCACTTTGATCCACCCTCCGTCGCTGGCTTTGGCCCCCTCTTTTTCCTCACTGGGGTTTTCTGTCACAGACAATATACCTGGTATCATGGAGGGGCGGTTCTGTGGTGTGACACTGTAACTGTTGGACCGTGGCCTCCATGGCTGTCGCGAGGTTTTGCTGGTTTTATTATTAATATTGTTACCTCTAGTATTGGTCGATGCATACCCCCTACCCTGCCCCCCTCCCACAGTTAATGTGTTGCCAAAGTAGTTGTTTCTGCGGCGGTCATACACAGGTCCAGCACTGAGCGGGCGCTCTCGTTCCCTCTCGGAGGTGCTCTCTGACGTAGTGCTGGAAGGGCTGCTGCCCTTTGACCCAAGATGGAGCGGGGAGAGTTTGGCCGACAGGCTGGCAGTTGGCGAGGAGCTGCGCGAGTCAATCCAGGGAGCTACATGGCTGCGGTTTGGAGAGCGACGCACAGCTGCAGCATAAGAAAACCCCTGGCTTTCATGAGCAGACAGGAACTGAGGCAGAGTGCGGGCATCAGATTTAGTGAAGCCAGTCAGAGCAGCAGTCGTAGGCAGGGATTTCTGGGTCATCATCTGCCTCTGCCTAACGTTGTACATCCACGTGGGATCAATATCTAACAAAGAAGATATGCATTGATACCATAGGAGAAAAGTCTTTGTTTAATACTGTTAAATATATTTGAGATAACCTCAAGCTCAAGCTGTTGATGAAGATGAAATAAAAGAATTACCCGAGTTACACTTGTCCCTGAGGTTCCAGTCGATGTTAACTGGCGTTGTTTCGATGACTAACTCCACAGTCTTGATCTCGTTCTGTCCACCACCGAGACTACACGACACTGGACAGCTGTGTCTGGTACACTTTGGTGACTTGACATCATTCTGAAGTGTGAGAAGATGAGAATATATAAGGATATTTAGTGTCGGAAATATTCAAACTTATTGCGCAGGGTTCTGTTTTCAAATTGATATCTCAAATGGCAGCTGAAGTGATTCACCTCATAATTGATCGTGTAGTCGACTCTCTGGTCCTGCTGTATTCCAACGATCCATTTGTCCATCACAAAAGGTGGCTGCATTGCAACGACATTAGTTTATTAACTAAAATCTGACCATAATACAACAATCCTATTGCTAAAATGCAACCTTAAAGGTCTAAAAGCATAGACACTGATGCACTGATTTAAAAAAAAAAAAAGTGTTCCTGACGACACCTTAGTCATTCGCAGGATTTCCACATCCTGACGGTTGGCATTAAAGATGACATCTTTGATGTAGGTTACTGCAACGTCATCTCCATCAAGTTCAACGTACATTTTCCATTTGCAATCCTGGAAAGAAAAGAGCTAATGGTGAGATAATGTCGGTCTGGTACACTCAGAAACAACACCTGATTGTATGGAAAAGTTTATAATTGCAGTATTCTGTGTGGAGAACTTGGTTACTCTTGAATATAAACCAACAGCACAACCTAGAGGTAGTTTAATGGTAGTGGCCACAAAGCCTCATATTGTGGGGGAGGACAGAGATTATAGAATAAAGAAATTGAAAGGGGACAGAACATTTTAAATAAAATCAAATGCAATTTGTACAGAATATTTAAAGCAGGTAAATGCATTATGAAACACCTCATTTAGAGAACTGATCTTAATTGCAGTGAGAATATCATAAAACTACTAAATGACAACAATAGAAAATATTTTTATGTAGACATAAATTCCTTGTCAAACATTTGATATTATTATTCTCTGTGGGATCCAGGATGAATTTCTTGGAGCAGGAATGTGGAAGGTTTTTCCCTTGCGTGCGGGACACATCAAATCCTCACTAGGAGGCACAAATCTGAACAATTCCCCAGCCCTCTTCTGCTGCATACTGAATGCTGACGAAGCAGTAATGATTCTGCCAATCCCCAAAAGCCGGCCGTGAAAAAAACCACAGGTCACTGCTTAACCACACAGGGTTCATGGCACAGGCCAATCCATTGTGTAGTGATCACAGAGAAAGACATCAGAGGAGTGGCACTAACACACTCGTCTGAGGAGCCTTCGCCCTCTTCTGCATCGTCCCCGGGGGCTGGAAACGGCTCAAAGGGGAAGCTTCAGCAAGCCTCTGGCTCAGAAACACACCAGTGGCCCCGCGCTGGCCTGGTGTCGGCACTGGACGGTCGCACCGGGGCTCCCAGGTCCATGCTAGTCTAATCACTCCAGCAGAAACAATGTCTGGTAATGATGCCTAGGACCCGAGTGCGTCTAATGACAACTCATACATAATTCAGCACCTTTCACTTGGCTGCACGGTGATATCCTCATTAGTAGGGGACCCTCAGTGGCTGTCAGATGGTGGCCGCACAATCGCAGGCCCTCATTTTGTCTTTGAGAAGTGCAGCTGCTTCCATGACATCGCCAGCAAAGAGGGGCGAAGAAAAAAAATGCAGTGCGGGTTTGTTTTATTTAGTGCAAAAAACCTTCCAGTTTGTAAAAACAAGGCTGACACGGAACCTGACACCAGGCAGGGGAAAATAATTAGCTCTCATTTTCTCAGCCTCCTGTTTCCTTCTCCCTGCTGTGTTTTCTACCCACTAAACCACCACATGTCAGAAGAAATGGGAGGCAATTAGCAGGCTCGTTTCAGCCCTGCCGAACACACTGAAAGAGGACTATTTATGATGGGACAATGAACAGCTGAAAGATTAAATAACGTTTGCCTTTTAAAAGGAAAATGACTTCTGGCTAAATGGGCTATTTTTGATTAAATTCAAACAGCAAGTTAAGAGCCACCCTTTCTCCACAGTTTGAGACCCTAACAAAGGGCTGTGAGCAAGTCGAGGTGGATGTGGTACATGGCTGAGAATGAAATGTTTATTTGTCTGGTTTTATGCATGTCTAGTGATGCCTTCAATGGTCAGTATAACAGCCATCATCATGATTCCTCAGTACAAACAGCCTCAGTACAAGGAGGCTGATTCAATCACGGCAGAACACCATTCTGTGCATCTATTTGCAATTATTCCCGAATGTATGAAAGATGTTAACAATTAATAACAACCCTGATCAAAGTGGATACAGTACAACATTTATTTGTGATTGTCCTCACAGAGCGGATGATGCAGCTGCAGAATATGTTGATGCAGTCAATGTGTATGTGCGCGTTGTTTCACTACAAACTTACAGATTTGCCCGTTCCTGGTTTCCAGTGGTACCCAAACACCAGCTCCAGATTAACAGTTTTACTTCTCTCCACCTCCTGTTCCAGCTCGTCCTGGAAAAGAAAATGGGTATTATTCCCAATATGCACAGAAACCCCAAAACAAGCCCAACTCTTCCTGAAGATAAAGAAGAAACTTTATACCTTCAACAGAGGCGGGAAGTGGACGAACCCGAGGTAATCATTAGTTAGCTTTTCAATTTCACTCTGCAGAAGAGAAGATGTGAGATTCACTGTAATTTGAAATATTACTGAGCATACATAGAACTTGTCGTGGAAATTATGTGTGGAGGAAAATAAAAGAGAAGTTGTGGTTAATGGTCAACTGTGACTTGCCTTAAGTAATGGTTAACTGTGACTTGCCTTAAGGTGCATGACGTGACCTTTGGACTTGACCCCCATGTCCCGCATGTCGTTTTCCGTGAGCAGCAGTAACCTCTTTCCCGTGATGTGATTTTCTTTAAACAGGTCTGCATACCGTTGCATGTCACATGGGCCCTCCCCTGAGATAGACAAACAAACAAACAAACAACAAATAAAGAGTCTGAAGCTGCCAAAGTCGGATGATCTTACAGTGCACAACTTCTGAAAGTGAACAAACCTGCGCCAAATATTTGCTGCATCCAGAAATACTGAAGGAATAAAATGGTGATATGTTAGTTTTAATAGTAATCATGTGGCGTGACAATCTAGATTAATATATTAGTTATGAGGTAAATACAGTGATACTGACCACATGCTCCTCTGTCCATGTATAGATGTCAAGGGTGGGCAGCAACTGCATGAAAACAAAAGACAAACAGACGTAACAGCAACAGAATATGGATGGATGGGAAGGAAACATGTCTATTTATGACTGACAGATCTTAAAGTAAAAATCTTAAGAAAATGTTATCAAAATGGAAAATAGCCATGTTTTCCATGTCTTTTGCAGCCATTACTTCTCCGCTTATTGTGCTGCGCCTCTAATGGTCTATATCAAACGGAAATGTCCATCTGACTGATCTAACGTGATCTATTTGAATGATAAATCATTTATTGCTCATTAAATGTAATCAGGCAGAAACTTGCCAGCCAAAATAAAGATTTCATCATTGTGCTCATGAGAGTGGTGTGTAATGACAGAAATAATGCAACGGAAAATTGGAGGAAAGACGACTAAATGACTGAGTAATCCCCATTCACTGTCTTCTTCCCACGACATCTGATAACAGCTCAGATTATTAACTGAATGCCAGTCTCAATAGACAGTTGCTGCCATACATTTCAGTGCAGCCCGCCGCCTCATAAAGCCACTCAGCCCTGCAGCCTTTTCCGCCTCCTCCAGTGCTGCCGTTCGGAAGTAAACAGATTCAGAAACACTGCCTACTGCCAAAGTCTCACTGGAGTGACTTAACGTCACTTTCTCAAGCAGCATATTGTATTTGACAAATGTGCTGCCATGCTTCTTTCATTGAGATCCATGGTATGCTGTTGACAAAGGTACCTAGATCTCAAATTCAAAATGCGGGCAGAGTTTCTGTGTTTATGATATGAGTAAGGACTCTGCTGGGAAGAAAAAGGCTTTGAGTTGGGTTTAGTTCACACAATTCTGCCCCCATGTGGACTAAGTGGATGGTGGGTAACCAGACCATGAATACAGCAGTTAAAAAACGGCATGAAGTTAATATCACAAGACATTCTTTATTTTTATTTTATTTAAATGTTATCAGTCACACTCTGTTCTGTCATCTATCATAAAGGTTTGGCCGATAATAGTTATACAACATAATTCAGTATTTTTTAATGTAATAAAATCAATCTAAGACAGACAGATTGTCAGAGAGTTGAAATCAACTGATTTATTGACAAAACAGTGAAGGTTTCAGGGAAATAAGTCACATCAAGAAGCTGCTAGTCGAATAATTTTGGTGGAAGCGAGAAGAGATGACTAACAAGTGTGGAAGCTGAATGTTTCAGGATGACTTAAGTGTCTGGATCTCACACAGGGAAATGTAAATACTGTTTAGAGTTTGTGTTAATTGTTATGTCTGGTCTAGTATGTATAGTTCTTGATGGCACAGGGGAGTACGGGCAACGTCTGAATAGGAATATTAGCTCATGGAAGGAAGCTAACAAGCAACAAAACAGGAATACAGAGGATTACATCCTCACGAGACTGACTGATGATAACAAACGAAGGGGACAATTTAATAGGCTATGCTCAAGGAAGCATGTCCTTCCCCCGGATGGAGCATAATACCTAACTGAACACTAATGCTAATACGATTTTCTCTACTGTAAAGTGCAGGTCTTGAGGCTAATATTCAGTTAGACCATATGTTGTGATACTCCATGTAAAATGTGTCTACAGGAGGAAACTATTATATTAAAATCAATATCGTGACTTCACTGGTAAAAACTCTAATTGAGGCCTCAAGTGCAAACACAATATTATTGTTATTAATTATTTCTTCATTTCTTAATAATTTTTAATTTGGGCCGATGGAAGAATCCATTCTCTAAAAGGTAAAATGAGAGAATGAAGCTGACAGTCAGACAGCAAAGTCCCTCTCCTGCTGTTTTGAACCTGGGTCAGTCAGAGGAAAAAACATGTACTTTCTCATCCTGGTAAGAGACTGCGTCTCAACAACTGCACTCCACCACATCCAGAACAAATTGGCCAATCTTAATGTCAGCAAAATGTCACTTCATCATAAAAGCCTGGCCTTCTCTAAGCAAGTGGCTCACGTGGCTCTTTTCTTCACAGCATGGCACTATACATGCAGTACATTAGGCATACAGTAAATTACATCCATAATATCCATAGGTGGAGGGTTACAAACATATTCTATAAGATGTTTCTGTGCTCAATGAGCTCTTTCTGAAGGCACATCATGAATATTACTTGAACAAAGCAGAAGAAATAGTATGCTAAGATGTGTTTTCAAGGTACAAATTGAAGATTGTTCAAATGACAAAATAATCAACATGACTTAACAAGCAATTTGTTTAGAAATAGTGCTTCCACAACACCAATAATGCATTAAGTGAGATCACAGTGTTGGAAAGATGCAGCTGTGGTGACACAGAACGTCGGCGAGCTTTATTCACTGTCATCAGACAAATTGAAGCGTCCCATGCCCAGAGTCATGTTGATTTTGTGTCCTTCTCTGACACAGCTCGACATGGAGGAGTTCTGCCTGGCCTGCATGTTGACCTGCATGCCCGAGTGCAGGACAGGCCGGCCAAAGTCCAAGGAAAACATGTCCTCAAAGCCTTTCATCATGGACTGCAGCTTCACCTCCTCGTTACTGGAGGTTGTGATCTGACATGACATCTGTGAACTGTTTGATTCCTCCGTCTTACACTGATAGAACGACTTAGCACTTATCTTTTTTGCCACAGGTAAGAAGAGCTGAGAGGCAGAGACAGGTGGAGAGCGGGGACACAGGGGGTAAAAGAAAAGAGGAGAGGATAGAAAAGAAAAGGAAGTAAGTAATCAGTTTCAAACCACAAAATAAGTGTAAATAAGACAATTTTAACCCCAAGACGTTAATTAGAAAACTGGATTATAAAGGGAAGTTAAGGGAGTAGAACAATAGAGTAAGGTGGGAAAAGAAAGGAAATACGGGAAATGATTTTAGTGTACTTCAGGGGTCTCAAAACTGCTGGTCCGGGGGACATTTCTGGCCCTACATTCCCTCCCCTTTACATTTTTTTTTGGTTATTTCATACCAATTTCAACTACCCCTTCATATACAATTAAAATAAAAACACAATGTTGTTTTTTCCTAAGAATGGCACAAAATAATGGGAAAGGTCAAAGATGCCTAGTGCAGACAACAAAGATGACTCTTTCTAAACCAGAAACAGTTTCAAGAAAGATGGACATTGCAGTAATGTTTTGTGGAGTTCAATGGAAATGCTACCTGCCTGATATGCAGGAAAAAGTGTCTTCACTAGACTAAACATGCAGAACAGTATGACAAGTAGAAAAAACAAAAAACAATGCAGCTTCAGAGAGTGCTAAGGTCTCTAAGTTAGTCTAAGTCCTTTCCATAAAACCATAAAGAAGTCGTAAGTTGAAGCAAGTTATGTGGTGAGTGAGTTAGTCGCCAAAGCAAAATAAGAAATCTATTCACCGCAGCGCAGTTTCTGAAGAATTGCATGTTGCAAGTCACTGATAGTGTACGTTCACAAAAATAGAACTTTTTGCAGACAAAGTGCAGCGAAGTGTCAACTAATGTATATAAAAATGAATGAATGCTCTGTGTGCCTGTTTTGTTAATGTTTGTAATGGAAATAAAAAAGTACATTTTCAGAAATACTGTGCTTTCTTCTAGTACCTCTCCCCCCTATGAGATGACAATGCCAGCAGTGGCCAGAAGCCAACTGGAGTTTGAGACCCCTGGTGTATTTGATTCAAAAGTTTTGTAGACTATTTCAAACTCAGACTATAGAATCTGTGTTTTGTTGCAGCCTCCAAGATATCTCTACTGTACACTACTGTGGCATTCAGTCCCACGCGGTTTTGAGAAAACAACAGCATCTTGTTCACAGAAAGTGAAAACAAGGAAAACCAGAATATGATCTGCTGTGTGTTTTGCATGCAAATAATACAATGCAGGCAAACAGCAGCAGAGCCATAAACCGCAGGAAGCTGGACGCTCACAATTCAGTATTAATTCTAGTAAGGAATACAGCGTTTACTGTTGGGCAGCCATGCACATGCACATACACTGCGCATATACCATAATGTTTTCATAATGCACTCTTTCCTTCACTTCTCATTCTTCACTTTGTATTTTCATTTCACTGCTTTTCAATTTCCACTTCACCCCAGAGGAAGATTTTTGTCCCTCTTCTAATGGGATTGAGGAAACACGCATGTGACCAGCAGTGTGAAAGTGAGGCACTAACGCTCTGACCACTTGACAGTTGGTGGCGGCTGTCTTGAGTGTGAAGGTGGACCAAGGTGGAGAGGGAGATGATGAGGAACTCACCGGGCTGTTGGACTGTTCGATGAGTTTGCGCTCCCACATCTTTAGACGCCGCTCTCGTTCCTTCAGCTCCTGCTCTTTGGTACTCAGGTCTCTCTCCAGCTTCTTAAGTCTCTCAAGTGTGGCTTCAATCTCACACCTGTAGTATCCAACAACAGAACAATGTGAGATATAGATATGTTAAAGCCTAGTCTGATTTAAAATTCTTCTGTCAACAAAACCCATGAAAAGGCCCAAACCAACAATGTGTTAGTCCCTCTCTGTGTGGCATTTAAGACATTACAAATGTGTGATTTTTAAAGTGCTAAACAGTGCATTTATTAGGGACTATATTTTCAGCTGCAGATGAAAACATTTGGTGCTCTAGGGACTACTTTTGCACCAGGACTGTGTGTGTGGGATTGACTCTGTAAACAACAGTGCTTGTGTTCGTTGAAATGAAGGTCGTCCACTGCAAAACCGCACCTCACTGATGTGTTTTAACCCCTCAGAATCCAGTTTCCCCTTTTTATTTTCCTAATTCCTTAATCAGCTTTAAGGTTAACTGACCTATCACATATATATCATGTATTCTGTATCAACCTGAATGTGTGGGAACAATTCAAAGCCAAAACTCTGGCTGCATCGTTCCATTTAATGTGAATATTTTGGAAACTTTGGGATTTCCACTATGAACGAGTGGGCACGAAAAATCGCTGACTAGACTAACCCACCCACGTTTTGGTATTTTCTTGGAATTTGTTGACAGTAAAAAAAAATAAAATCACCATCCTTATACTGTAAACAATGCAGTGTAGTGAAATTAATTACAGTTAGAGTGCTAGGAAAGAAAGCAGTGACACTAAAGCAAAATAAAACAAAACTCCTCTGTAATGCCCTGCAGTCAGAAGGTGATTAGTCTGTGTCTGAAGCTTTGAATGCCAAGGACGGGACAATGTCTCATGTTTACTTCACGCTGGGGAAGTTTGTTTTGCCCAGCGGGTGGGGCTGCACAGTGTGTCGTGGAAATCCATGCTGAGCTTCAGCCCAACAAAAACTCAGTTCTCACACATTATGTTCATAAACACATGTAGCCTGGGCAGGAAAGCCCATCCTTACTCCTCCCAGTCCTCCATTTCCTCCACCCTGACGCTTCCCACCTCAAACGATTTCTACTCTTGCTCAACTTCCCAAATAATTTGTTTTCTTCTCTTTTGGCATTTTATATTGCCCGGTACATTACCAAACTCTCTTTTCAAGGGTTTTTTATCCACACAGTCTATGTAGGCCGACCCTATTCATCTCAATTCTAAGTTTAATCTGAGCCATCTCTTAGCTTAATTTCATTATATATTTGTAGTATTTTGATAGTATTCTTTTTTTTGTAATTAATTAATTTAGATTTTTTTAAATATTCCAGAGATTCATCCACAAGAGGCAGCTTGGTACACGTACCATAGTTTAGGAACCAGTGGTTCACACAACACGAGATATTAATTGACCGGTTTTAAGACTAAGCAACCATTGGATTATATCAGCTGCTTTTGACAATTGAACTCTCAGAGCTAGGGTTTAACATTTGTCTGTGAAAACAACATATAGTATAGTCTGTAAGTATTAGGACACTGGATCTGACATAAAACAATGACTGTGAGGATCAGTCAGCTGGTCTAACCTCGGTTCAATCAGGTCCTGCTCTCCATCATCACCTTCTTATTTCATTATTTTCCTGTTTCTGTTGTCAGACAACAAAATGAGCATACAGTAAGCTGTGATTTGGTAGTGGCTGATAAATGCTAACGTAACCTGTTAACCATGCAAACTATAAGACCTGTACCACTGTGCTGAGACGCTGTTTAAATCACTATTAAATGATCGTGAGGTCGTCTGCAGCTCAACTTAAATATACCTCAATAACAGCTTTACATTACGGAGAGGGTTAGAGGTGACAGAAAGCTAGAGTCAACGGAGGAAGCTACTGATTAAAGTAACTGACTTGTTGTTTTATCATCTTTAGTAGATCCTAGTTACTACAACGAAGATTCATGTTAGAATGTTCACAAATGCACACTAATGTGACGTGTTAGAAGAACAGCATCATTTAACGAGCATCTTAGCACAATGTACAAGTTGGTCTGCTTTACTTTGTACTTCATCCAGGTTGTCTGACAACAGAAACATAAAAGATAATTAAATAAGAGCAGCTAAACATTAAAAACGCAGTGATGATGGGAGAGCAGGAGAGGACTCAACAGAGGTTTAACCAGCTGAGGCTGTCTGTCGCTGCATTGCTGAACACTTGTTGCTGTCATAAAGTTGTTGTTCATGTGCTCATTCACGTCCCCCTCAGGATGAATTGGAAGAACTACAGTGATCTTGACTTTTCATTTATGTAACAATGCTGTATTCCTGCACTGTGCACCCAATATAGATGTGAGTGCTCTCTAACTTTTAGCCAAAATTCAGCACCTTAACACTAAACACTGCACTGTATGCTGTGTCTATTAAGCTTAAGACAATGTACATTGCTGCTGTACGTTGCACAAAGAAACAAAAAGAAAACCAGAAGGATATGGGTTCATTAGGTTCTCCAAAGGTGAGAGGAGTTTGTAAGCACTCTGTTACAAGAGTTGTCATCCTTTGAAGACATATTTTATTCATACTTTGGTAAGAAAAAAGGACTTCATTACGCACTTCAGAGACCCTATCAGCACTAAAGACTAAAGAATTACATCTCAGGTAAAATGGCCTAATATTACGTTAAGCATTTATTAAGTTGTATATTAAAATACTCTGAAAACAATCCCAACGATAACGTACAACACTGTTGTCTTTGTTATAGTTGTGGTGTTGACCTTCCACTGGAGTTATGAGGATTTTTAAAAATAAATATCTGTAGTTATTGTTGCTGGTGTGGACGACTCTTAATTCCCGGCTAATGCAAATCAGCTAACTGAGGAAAAAAGTAGTAAGCCCAACAGATCTCACTACTCTGAGGTCAGCGTAACATCTCTGTGCCCTTTCTGGTGAAGCTACCTCCTGGTCTGATCACCCACCAGTCTCTCCTTATCAAACCTCTTGAGCTACAACAAATGCGTCTTTCTGTGTCACACATTCTCAGTTTCTGTTTTCCAGCAGCCAGATTAACTCCAACCTGCTCCACCTGCAGATGGCTGCCTGGACATGATGCCACCAGCACAACTTCTGAGGAAAAACCTCAGAGCACAGACAAGCCCCGCAGAGAGGCAGACAGAGAATAAAGTAACAGCTGAGACTCAGGCTGTGCTGAACATCACCAAACCTCCAGCTGCTCATACAACCCAATTAAACACTTCTACTTGAAAAAGATGGTGATTATTTTTAGGGCCTTATGGGTAAAGAGAGGAAGTATATCCAGATGGATGATTCTTTGGAGGTTTTCATGCCTTTATGTAGCTATCAGTGTAATTATTAAAGATCTATATGCACGATCTCAAGTCTTTTTTTTGTATTTCATGGCCCCCATCAGCTACATTTCCACATCATTCTTTGAAAACAGTTGCACATTTCCTTAGGCTGAGGCAGTATATTGGTGAAAAAAGAGAGTTATAAATACATTTACTGGGCCTGGCTGATCTCATTACCTCCATTCAGCCTTGTTGTGAAGGAAAGAGTTGCACTGTTGAGGAAGTTGGCTGTCATTAGACATGGACTCCAAAGTAGAGAGGATCTGCTTGAACGTTGGCCTTTCCTAAATCAACATACAAACATTTGCTCTGTATGTGATTCAAATGAAAACATACATAAGTTGTTGATTTGCATGCTAATGTGACTTAGAGTATCACTCACTTTTGGCTCTGTTGCCCAGCAGTTCCTCATGAGCTCAGCAAAGCTGGCAGGACAGCCACTCGGGATGGTTAACCTCTGAAACACAGTCGGCCGGTTGTAGGATGAACGGCTGGTTAGTGAACTTAACTAAAATGAATTGGTGCTTATTTAAAGGTCCAGTGAGTAACATTTAAGAGGAATATAATATTCACAGGTATGTTTTATTAGTGTAGAATCGTTGTGTTTTTGTTACATCAGAATTACGCATTTTAATCTACACAGGGAGCAGGTCCTATTCTACGGAGTCCGCCATATTGAATCCCCATGTTTCTACAGTGGCCCAGAATGGACAAACCAAACACTGGCTCTAGATAGGGCCTTTTGTGTTTTACATTTCGCAGCCACTATAGTGTCTCCTACATGCTTGGGGGAGGGTGCAACTACACCGCTAGACGCCACAAGGTATTACACACTGGAGCTTTAAAGGAATAGTTTCACAGGAATATATGGTCAATTACTCTCTTGAGTATTAAGATTGATACCACTCTCATTTCTGTATGCTAAATATGAATCAACAGCCATCATCGTCCATGGCTTAACTTAGCATAAGACTGGAAAACAGGGGAAAATGTTAGCCTGACTCTATCTTTGAGTCTCCACTGATTGCCTCGTTGCCTGTCAACCACATGGGGAAGACAAGAAATGTTACCTTTACCCGTACATACAGTAAAATCACAACAAGTGGGAGTGCGCTTGTGCAGAATAAACCTCTGACTGAACCCAGAACTCACCAGAAACTTCTGTCTGTTATGTGAAGCCAATTCATAAAGCCTCTATGATAAAAGCAAAATTGTTTTTGCCAACATTAAAACATTTGAAACTCAAGAGGACTTCACGTATTCACATCTAACTGGCTACGTCTAATTAAGTCTTTCCATTCACATTGTGTACAACTGTGCCAATGCTGGATTTTGTGCTAAGCTAAGCTAACCATCTGCTGACTGTAGCTTAATTTCTACCGTACACACATGAGAGATGTATCAATCTTCTTATCTAACTCTCAGCAAGAAAAGCAAATAAGAGAATTTCCCAAAATGTCAAACTATATATGATGAACCAAACTAGACTGTCGAGAAATTCTGTAGACTATATAAACATGTAATCACACACTAGAGTACCTCATTTTTCTCCACTACGAGCCAGGCCACTTGTAAACCTTCAAGGCCTTTGAAGGGAATCTCACGGGTTAGCATTTCCCAAAGCACCTGTCACAGGAGTCAAGAGCCAAGGTCAGTAAACAAATACAGTTATAAGGCTGTAAAATGACACTCATACAAGTGAACATCTATAATACGGCTGTGTAGCATGTGTATTCATATATAAATAACCCTTAAAAACTGTCTTTCTTGAAGACCAAATGCAACAAACGAAAGAGACAAAAAGATTAATTTTAGATTTCCGACAACAATTAAAGGCTGCCATGATTTCTTAAGTACAATAACAGTACTCCCTTTATAATTTAGGTGCTTTCAGTTAGTGTCAGAAATAACAACCTGCGTCAACATCTTAAAAATTAAATCATGAAAAGGTGGAGGAGAGCCATTTTTCAGACACCCAAGGGCTCTACTCTATATGTGTACCATATTTGCCAGCTGCCTCTCATTACATGTATGTGTTTTACTATAGAAATAAGCTCCTTATGAAGGTGTTTGAGGGGGGAAACTGCATACTTAAATTTGCAATCATTTTGCAGTACCTGACATAAATAGCACTCATTGCAATCATAAACATTGTCTGTTTAGCTTGTAAAATCATTCATATATTTAAGACAAAATAATTTTTACATACTTTTTCCTTTGATTTTACATCAGTAATTTACCCTTGTATAATACAAACTGCAATTTTTGAGCTCATTACAGGTAACTGGTAATGGTTTCCATTTTGAACCTACTTCCAAAAGTCTTTAGACAGCAACTTCACTAGAATAAGAAAGGCACATAAGATTCAGAACTTCTGGAAAGATCAAAATCACCGCGTTTGTCAACTTAAGAGAAAGAACTGAAAGGCTGATGGAACAACAAGCCATAAGTGACTAATGTATATGTATATGTATACAAATGTATTGAGCATATTTCATTAAATTATACATTGTGCTGTTTTTTAGACAAAAATAAAAAGATAAAATTTTCAAATCAAAGCAAAAAAGCTTTTATAAATAGGTTGAGACTTGAATTGTGCTTGTCAATCAATATCAATTTTATCTTTGATATAATTTACTGAAATATTTACACTGGATTCGAGTACACTATTTGTAATTGAATAACAAATGCCAGAAATGTACAATGTACAAAACGTCAGAAAGAAATGTAGGAACTTAATATAAAGAATCTAAAAGTAACTTTTTACAAGCTAAAGTGGCCGGTGTACTCCAACAGAGCTGCTTGTCGGATGGTCAAATAGCTTCAGAAACCCCCCGACACCTTTCCAAAGTCGAATGAGGGGGGTCTGTGTCCAACAATTTCTGTAACTTTTCAAAACCGGTGATCTGACATTCACACCCACTTCATGCAGCAATTGGCCTGCTGTGGAGAGGTGAGAAAGGAGCCATGGATTGAACTTCTCTCTGTAGCTCACTTTCTCATTCTTGGTACAACTATTTCTCTCACTTTTCAAAAGAACAGCCTCGAGTGTGACACCACGAAGGTCTTCCAGGAGAACATGCGCACTGTTATCTGCATATTTAAAACAATATTTATATTTACTCTTATACTTACTCTCAATATTTTGAAAGATGTAAAAAGGAAGCTTATATAAGATATTTCCTCATAATAATAGTTATGTTGACAACATCAGATAAAATAATTTGAATATTATGTAAAACTGTACATGAGTAGTGTACAGAGAGTAGCAACCATCTGTGGAGGCCCTGCATTGAGTTTGTTTGTTTGTTATTCCTGGCAATGTGTCAAAACTGTAGAATTTGAATTTAATGCTGCTTTCCCCTCCTTTCCTTCTTTCCACTCACCACACCATAGGAGAAAGTGTCACAAGTCTCAGACACAGGCAGGCTCTGGATCACCTCTGGAGCCATCCAGGGAAACGTGCCCACCAAGGACATGTGTGTCGTGTGGGTCAGGAACTTGGACGCCCCAAAATCACAGATCTGTAGTGACAAAAACAGAACTGAGATTATTGTTCTAATTAATCTGAATCAAAATGTTTATTTTGGTATACCCCATCCGTAGAAGAATGCACTTCCTCTGTGTATGGAAAATGCACTAATGAAACCAGCATGTGCGACTGAAAAAGAGTGTGGATCTAGTGTTAGTAAATGCTACAGATGTGTAGGCCTGGACTCGTCACTGCAGTGTCACAGACAAATGATATTTGACTTACTATGCTCTAGTTTCATGTCAGAAACTGTTCCTCTATGATGCTTCAGATACATACAGAAGAGGCTTCAAAACATGTTTGGAGTCACTGAATAGTTTTCTATAATATATAGTAACTCCCTTGCAAATAAAAGGAACAATATTGTCATGAGCTTTTGTTTAATCTCTTTTCTACTAGTCTCATCCATCAAGAACCGACAGTGCAGTAAGGCACACCGGTAATGCCGTCAGTGGTTTCTTGTACATGCTAAGTTAGTCACTGCCCTCTTGTGTCCACATACTGTAGGTAAATAAGATTCCAGTATGTTATGCTCATATTCTTTTTATTTTCATATTCAAATTAAAGTTGAAATGTTCAGATAACCAGACAGCATCACCTCATCAGAGCTAGCTCATTGTGCAGCAAAATATATCTGAGATAACCACAAAATGAAAAACCCACCTTGAGAACCTTGTCTGCTGCCAAAACAACTGAAAGAGAAAATGTTCTTAAAGTCAATAAAAGTATGTAATCACTTTAAAGAATATGTAGCATTTGAATATATATGAATTAATATGATTTGGACACAAAAGAAATGATGCAATAAATCAAATCAGTTACCATTCCTGGACTTCAAGTCTCTGTGGATCACCTTAATGGGGGCCTCTGAATGTAAATAGTGCATTCCTGAAGCGGAAATAAAGACACGTTTTTAGAGAAAGACACAACTACATAAAGCAGTGGTTTTTGATAAATCACAATAATGCATCTTTCAATTGATAATGTACCAAGAGGGACCACATCCTGTTTGAAATACTGTATATGGGTAGAGTAGCAGTGAGCTGAGAGAGACCTAGAGCAGTAGAAATGTACATTATTATGAATTCACTAACGAGCAAAATCAGGACTCCTCAACTCTTGCCTATTCATATTCCCATGTGCAAATACAGCTACACTGCCTACATACTCTTAAATACAAAAACTGGTGACCAGAGTCAACATCGATAATGACACATAACAAATGAGAGGACCAGTGTGTAACTGAACACCGCTCGCATCTGTATTCGATGACCTTGAATGAAAATTAGCTAATAACTAATAACTATTTGTATCTTCAGGTGATTCAGGTCATTTTAATTTAGAAATATCACCAGTGCCACTGTCTACAGTTGTTTAGTTCAGTTTTATCATCCACCATCAGCCAACCCAAGTGTAACATATTGTTATTATAATTGTAAAGCTATGTAAACAGGACATAACAGCTTGCTCTCAATGACTTTCCTATGCAAAAATAAATCTTTTCAATTCATTAATTAATAAAAATTTAGCAGTAATTGAGTAATATAATGAAGAAGATCATCCCATTTACCTCTGGCAATCTCTGCAGCCCATGTCATGATCTGTCCCATGTCCATTTCCTCACTCTCATCACTGGACAGGTAATCATACAACGATCCCCTGCTTGCATACTCTGTGGAGAGATGTGAGATGTGAGATTTGAATTTGAGTCGGGAATGGGTAATGACTGACAGTTTGGGATGTTAAAATGTCTTGCAGTGACAAAACTGTTCTCTTGAGGCGTTACATTACACATATGAGTGCAGTATGTGAGAGCATTACACGAAAACAATTGAAAATTGAAATTCTGCCAGACGACTCCTGGAAGCCGACTGACAGCGTCTTGTTTACAGATCGCTCCTGTCACTGTCGCTGTGGGTGAGTTCAATTTATCTACAGAGTAACTGAACATTATGAGCCACCCTGTTCCCTCAGGAGCCCACGTTATCAAATCGATCAAAAACACAAAGGAATAGTCTTTGTGCTTTGTTTTCAAAAGTTTTATACACTTCTCATAGGTCCTGACAACCAATTAACCTTTTGCAAAATCCCCCTCAAAAGACTGTCAAAGACATGGAGACAAAAGCTTCGATAAAGCATGTAGAACAGGAAAATCAACATTTTTTGCTATCTGTCAGCTATACTGTGAGGTAAAGTGCTTGAATAAAGATAAACAAGCACTATCATACCAGCTAGAACAGCAGGAAACCTCTGTTTGTGCATAATAACCCAATTATGTTCCAACACAGTAATGTAAACATGCACAGGCACCAAGACAGCAGTCTAATTAACAATCATAAAATATACCAATGGTTTTTATTATTATGAGTCTGAATTTTCTTGCAAAGCTTTTTTTTACTGGCTGACAGCAAACGTGCAAACGTGTACCTTAAATAGCATGCAGCTACAAATAAACTCAGCTTACTTCACCTGTGTGTGCACGTGAAGACCTGTCTGCTTCTGCACTTTGCACTTTACTACGTTCAACCACATTCCATACATAATATAACTGCCTGTTGCTCTGTTGTGCTTTCATTTTAGCATCATCCACTCCCTCGCAGTGATTGAGCCTAATATGGAGGTTTAATCAGTGAAACAACAAACTCGCAGTGTATGTCACAGGTAAACGTACCTTTATCCCAAAACAAACAATTAATTCATTAGGTTATGAGGCTGCTGAGTGACAGCAGATATTGTTAAACTCATGCAGGTAAGCAGCGATAGAGTTGGATACTGGCTGTCAGAGAGAGGGAACTGCCCAGCCTGATGCTGTACAGTATGTCAACAGATGGAGGAAATTTATAACAGAGCTGATGAATGTGGACATGGCATGTTCAGGTTGGCCATAAACCTTTTTTCCTGTATCTGGTGCTAATTAGATTCTGCTTTGATAAACAGAGACACCAACCAGCTCCTTGACAACAAAACCTTCTTAAAATACTACAGTGGCTGATAAGGTGCCACGAGTTTTCCTCCTGCAGATGCAATTCTGCAAGTCAATCGAATGCTTTCACTTCACTGTTGACGGTCTCTGCTTCTTTTTGTACAGGTCTTGACTTCACACAGTTATTAGATAGAAATTATTGTTGCATAAAATTTAACACAAGTGCCAACACCAAGTACAGATGTTACATGGGGGTCTTCTCAACCTTCTTCCTAAAGAAGAAAACCCTGTTTCAGCCATGTTGGCTCATTCACAGGATAAGAAAATGCAGAAATACAAAACCTTTCACTCTATAATCTTTATATGGTCACATGTAAAGTGAAACCAAGTAATTTAACTACAAAGCAGAGAAAGAGGATATGAAGCTACAGCACATGGTGCTGTGTGAATGTAAGATGGCAAAATCTGTAGAGGAAGCTGTTGCCAAACAAGGAGAGGTTTCATAGTATTTAATTGCAACATTACAGGAAAAGTCTAAAAGAATAACTCCTACCACTCTCCATTTCTCAATTATTTCAGCATGGTGACGGAAACAAACAACATAAATCTCATGTGCAGGTCGAACTCACTGAGATCACAGAACTGACCTGAGATGACTCGAGCCAATTATGGACGAGTCACACAGGAAACATTTGATGATGGTTTTTTTTACTATTTTGTCTTTAGTATAACAGTATTTTGTTACTACACTGTAGTATTAGAGATATATATTATTATATATCATACACACACAGCACAATTTATACCACCTCATATTATGCTTCTTATTGTTATTTTTATTGGTTTATTCTTTTTATTGTTTATTACTGTCGTACATCTCCTAACTTGTTGTCTTATTTGTGTGGTCATTTTAAGAGTAGCTGCATATCAGATTTCCCAATAATAATAAATATTAACCTGCCTTTCATTTGCTATTGTTGTTTTTATTTACTGTATACTTGGAATTTGAGCACTTCCTTTTTTAAAGAACACTCCTCAACCCTATTGTCAACCTGAAAGCTGCAGGAAACACAACAAACCATAAGCGTCTGCATAAATGTTCTATAAACTCTGTGTTAAAGTAATATAAGTTAACTACAATATATTCTAATATACTGCTAACTAACTCTAATATTACGATTCTAAGATTTGACAGTGTGTACTTTCACTTGCACTCTAGAGGCGGCTGATAATACAGACAAACTGCTGAACAAATAGGGCTGTTTCTATTACATCTCTGTAGAGGTAAAAAAAAAAAAAAAAAGAAGAAAAACAAAACAAAAACAGAGCCACGATGTCTGTGTGTTTATCATTCACCTTTCACCCTCCAGACAGCACACATCAAACAGACGAGCCATGTTTTCAAGCAAGAGAAGTACTACTCTTAGTGTAAAAGATTCTGTCAATAAATGTAATGTAATGTAACAACACAACAGTTTATTGTATTAGATAACCGTAAACACATTAGATTTAGTGAGAACAAATGTGAACTATGGGCTTGTATTTATCAGTTTTGTTGACCAATGGAACAAAGAACATCTTGTTTGTGTTTAAGCCGCACTGTGGGATGTATTGTCCACACGATGAAAGGAGGTGATGTGAGTCGGTTTCTGCCACAATTCTCACTGACAGCGTGTTTTTCCTGGAAGGAGAGCGAATGGACGACACATTGAATGTATATGACCTGTGGGGAGTCACTAGGTGTCCCAAACATGCGGTAATCCCTGAATGTCACCGACCTTTTAATAACGGCCCTGTCAAACAGAAATTATATTTCTCATATAAAGAGGCTCAGAAGTCCGACCTTTGATGTAGAGTGAGTAAACCTGTTAAGAGCCTGTCACACAGCTTCCTATCTGCATGTACGCTGAGCTATTTGTAGTTCACTGCTGCTCATAGGGCTGCCTGTTGTTTTAATGAAAAGACTCTATTTTGTTTTGCTTTTCAATTATATGTAGTGTTGAAAATGAAATTAATGGCCAACAATTAGTCTTTTAAATGCACCAGTCAAGTTAAATGCTCAAACTCTTTATATTGTAATTTCAATTGAATATCTTTGGGTTTTCAGGGATTGTAAGATGTCATCCTGGCCACTATTTTCTGGCATTTTACAAACAATTAATCAATTATTAAAAAATAATAAGAAAGATTAATTGTAAGCAATTGTTAGTTGCAGCCCTAATTACATATAATATATGGTACCTGTGTAGTTAATTATCATTAACCTGTGATTCAGGGCGTCATCACTGCAGCGAAAAGCAAAACACACCAAACACTCAAATCAAAACGATGCAAAGAGGGAAAAAAAGGGCCAATTAAGAAAAGGGCAACAAAATAATCCAGTTAATAATCTTCATTACAGAATAGAGAGAGGAGATCAGCGCTTTTCCAGGAAGAAACACAAAACCCGGCAACAGAAGTAAGAACTGAAGTAAAATGACATCCCAGGACGACCTTTAGACTCCTGTCCAATGAAAGTTTGTGCAGGGCCCCTTGCTACATTCGCTTTATTCTTCTCAGTCTCCAACCTCGACACAAAAACAAACAGGGGCAAACAACTACTGTATCAATGTGTGCACTTCCTGAACTCTCTAGCATTCACTAATGCTTCCATAGAAACCTCTGCAGCATTCAGTGTTGAGCAAACTGCAACTGGTGCAAACAGATTCAGCCGCTGCTCTGTTGTACACGCATTATTATTATGAGACGTACTGTATATATCTTACCAGTGACTATTCCATAGTTGGGAGCCTCAACGATCGCACCATAAAACTGGATGATGTTTCGGTGGCTGAGGACACTGAGGATTTCAGCCTAAGCAGCAAAAACACAAAGAGAAACTGTACCTTCTCATCGTAATGGAGGCTGCCACAAATTAAAACCATTATATCAGTGTAACAATAAAACAGGCTAAATGCTAATAGCCGAATGCCAACATGCTCACAGTGACAATGCTTACATGCTGATGCTAACGAGGTATAATAATAATAATAATAATAATAATAATAATAATAATAATAATAATGTTCACTGTCCGAGTTTAGCATGTTAGCGTTTGGTAATTAGCACTAAACTAAACACAAAGTACGAATGTCTGAATAAGATTTTAATCCACGACATAGCTGCTGAGATATTTCAGTCTGGAACAAAGCGGTGGACCGTCTGACAGACAGACAGACAGACAGACAGACAGACAGACATTACCATCTCTAGAGCTACGCTGCTAGCAAGGCTAAAAATAAAGGAGCAAGAGCATATATTTATATACACATATATATATATTAATATAGAAAGATCACTGTGAAACCATTCCTAGAATGAACAGAAACCTGACAAAACCAATTCATTTAATTGTAGCCAAACACTATAATTAAATGAACAATTGCTTCAGTGTGAAAGGATTACATTATTATTTTCACTGAACAATCATCTCTCCAACACTTGAGTGAAGTTGAATGGATATCTGTGATCTTTTTACAATTTCATAAAAGAAACGATGAATAATTTCCTGAACATCTTATCACAGGCCAACAAATGTAATACAATTTCACTGAAAAGATTTCAAAGATAATTCTTTTTTTGTCTTTAAGACAATGAGCCTGAGCTTTCAAAGGGATTTCAAGAGCCAACGGCATTCTTTCATTTGGCAATAATGTTTCTTTTGCAGCACATTTTCTACGAGTGGGGGAGTATAATGACCATGAGTGATGGGTACAGAAGTCGCCACATACCTCTAAATGGGGTAGCAATTAAAATGATTACTATACTGACAATTAAAAAGTATATGAAAAGCTCAGGCAATTATGACTCCTACCTCGTTTTCAATCTTGAGCAGTTTTTTCACTGCCACCTCTTTGTCCTTGGAGATCCACCTGGCTCGGTACACACTTCCAAAGCTGCCGCCGCCACAGTTCTCGTAGAAGTGGATGTCATCAAACTTGATTTGCACGAAGGAGGCGCTTGGAGACAACATCTCATAATGACACTCAGCACCAGCCTCAGATTCTGTGGGGGATCACAAGGAGGGAAGGAAGTCTGGTTCACTCAACAAAGTCCGCTGGGCTAAAACAAACTTGCTCCCGCTGTGCAAAACACTTGAAAGAGCAGCTTCGGTCTGAAACACAGTATTTGAGAGTGAGACTGCGGGTTAGATGAGACAGCCACATGACCTGAAAGGGACCGCTTTGTCATTGGCTGATTCTGCATGTAGTGTCAGTGTGATATCCCTGGGTTTTAGTGCTGTGATTTACTGACCATCCTCTCGTCTCGTTCTCTGCTCCACACACACACACACACACACACTCTTCATCATCAGTACCAGTAAGCAATGAGCTCAGGGTCCAGACTCCTGCTTGTATAAGGACGATGGCATGCCTGGTATGCTGCGATCATGCAGCCAATGTCACAGACTATTCCAGCACGGTCTACAGTGTTCAGTACAAGTAAGGCCACAAGCAGTGAGAGCAAATAACATTTTGATGATAAACTGTCTTTGACTTGTCTTCGCCACTAGAAATCGAGCTCTTCCTGCCTGTGCAAAGGCCATACATGCAGCACTTGTGTGAGCCAGTCTTAGAAATGTAATGTTTCCAAGCTGTAGTGGACACAGATTGATTATCATATCCTTTTGTTTGACCGTAACAGCTTAAAAGCGTCTTGTAAAGAAATAATCCCATCATTACAGGAAATTGTAGCTCTGTTATTGTTCATAGGTTTTCCATTTACGGCTGAGCAATTACGGCTTTTAAAAGGCTGTTACCTGGGTCTTCATTGGGATTGCTATCCCTCTCAGCGGGAAATGCCTCTATTGTCACAAAGGGGAGCCATTGCTTTCTGCTGATTTACTTGTATTCATGCTATACTTAGCCTCACAGCAATCTGCTCAGTGGTTCAGCCCTCAGTATTGTCCGTCCACTCAAGAGGCCAGGGTTACTGGGATATGGTAGCACTCCTGCTCTCCCTCCTGCCAGCTCTCTCCTCATAGCAAACACCGCTGCAAGCACTGCAACAATAACACCCTGATAGCTATACGTCAAACCGCAGGTAGTTACTGTAATCAAAGATAAATGAAAACTAAAATCACACCAAGCTAGCCGATAGTAAGGTGACCTGTCAGCTTCCATGTCACATCCTAACAGCCGGCAGCCGGGCGGTGTTTACTCACAGAGACATCCAGATGTTATTATACCAATCTTACTTGGTAATCAGTGATCTGAGATATTTGGTCGTGCTCTGACCTGACTTTGTTCATGTCAAGACCTCCACAACAGATCCACATTAGATCAAGAATCTCCAATTTGAGAGGATTTTGTCTTAAATAATCCCCTCCAGTATTTTCTCACCTTTAGATTTCATGAGTCCTTCACAGACCCAATCAAGGACCCTGTTGGTCCCCTAGTTTAAAGACCACTGGCTTAGATTATTGGGGGAATTTGCATGGCAGAATGGCTTCATAAAGACATGATGCACTGCAAACATTGCGGCACCAACAATGAAGAATAAGATGTGACTTTCACTATTATTATTATTATTATTATTATTATTATGACTGTACCTGTCATAATAACACTTTTACAACAGCCCTTGATATAAAGTGTATTATGTATCACACTCAGCAGCCCGAACAACCACAGTAAACCTGCACAAACAGCATATCTACTGTCCATTATAGTCATTATTATCAGTACGCATCCTCGCACTCTCCGGCCTACCATTAGGACTTAACTGTTCACATTCACATGGATGACTGCGAGCCGCCATGTGAATCCAGTATCTGACTCCTACCCTCAGTCTCTGGCGTTACAGACACACAGTACATACCGGCATTAAAGTGTGAAGTTTAAGGCTCCAGCAGCTCGCAGGCGGTGCAGCGGATCAACTTTCAGAAACAAATGTGTCAGAGTTCCGGGAAATCTCATGTGACGTCTGTGGATTTCTCCACTCACTCCTCGGTGGTTTTACTGGTTGCACAACTTCTTCCCGCAGCAGACTGGACTCTTTACACTCTGTACAGCCAGCATCCTGACTGCAACAGCGCCCCCCGCTGGACCCTGGCACAACAGACTCAGGGGTCCTTCAATGTTGTTGTTAACACACGTCCTGGGACGGTGTGCTCCGTGTGTGGCTCCCCAATTAAATATTTTATAGGTCCCTTAAATGTTCTGGAAATTGATCTATTAGAAAAACCTCTTCTTTTTGTATTTGATTTAATTTCCCTCTAATGTAAACATGGTCAATTCATTTTAATGCATTATGAACTAGTTACTTAAAACATGTAATTTATTACTCAATACTCTTTCCAAAGGAATTGTATTACTTACTTAGTACACCCTGCCAATAGTAATTAGTTACACCACTATTTGTATTACCTTTCTGCTTCTCCACAAAATTAGTAATATGAATATTTCCAGACGCTGAATATAAAAGTTTCTTCCAAACTTGTTTCCTCCAAGATTACAAATTTAATCCAAGGATGTGATTGGATAGTTGGATTTCAACACAAAAGTAATATTGTAACTAGTTATTTTTTGGGGAAGGGGAACTGTAATATTATTACTGAAATGTATCATTGTATTCATTAGTTACACTAGTAGTTACTGGGGAAAGTAATATCATTACTTTAATATTATGATTATAAAGCCCTTTCAATTACCTTGTGTTTTGCTGCTGCACAAATGCCAGTGTAGCTCATTCATGTTAAACCATCAGTGGTGGGACGTTAGTTACTTTTAGTCAAGTACTCACGTGCAATTTTGAGGTGTTTACTTGAGAAGTCCTATTTACATATTATGTTACATTATACTCGTTTTCATTTTATTTAGAAATGTAAATATTGTAGCTACTTTTTCCTCCGCTGCTGACTTTACATATTAAGATTTCATAGACAAAATACACTCGCTGGTCACAAGTTAGTGCCATCCAATACAGAGCTACCACAGATTCTGCATTTAGGATCATAATGTTCAGATTCTGTTGATGATGTTTATCATATCGTTAAGGGGTTTTGTTTTGTAAGTTTTTTTTTTACTATTTTTACATTTTGTATAAATAAAGGACCTGAAAACTTTGTCTTCAGTCTTCATTTCATCAGTCTGACACATATAAACAATGCAGGGCTTGCTTTACATTTTTGAATACCAAAATTCTTTCATGCATATTTAATCTATAATAAATTTAAGGTAATTTAAAAGTAATCACACATTACAATACATACAAGTTGTAGAGAATGTACAGTATAAATTGAACTTTAACTTTCAAGACAAAACAATAATGACAGTACAACGTATAAATACATCTAAAATATTTAATACTTAAAGCACACAAAAGTTTTTCAGACATTTACTGTATCTCCAAAGAGAAATGTGCTCACATGAATAAAAAGTCAAACAATCATAATAATTGTTTTCATGCTGAGGTCAAAATAAATATTTGTTTACAGTTTACAACACATAAGATTCTCACAAACTTAAATATGTATAAATATTGTTTGATACAAAAGATACGAAACAACTGAATATCAGGAATATCAAGACTTTGCATTCTTAAAGCATCGGCATCACATAGTGTTTACGTCTGAAATGTTAATCTGATGAATGAGATCCCCCCAAACATTGTAAATGTCTTCCACTGTCGCTCTTGTTTGACTTGAGGATGATGGTGAACTCTGCAGCACAGTGATATGAGAGGTACTTCACCCAGCAACAATTACTGTTGTTAAAATATCACAAATTACCGTAATAAAAGGCTTAACAAGTCAGGCAACGGCGTCTGAAACAATATCTCATTATCTGATACGTCATTAGGTCCTCCATGTGATTGCCTGTATTGGAGTAAATTCATCCGAACACAAGCACATGTCATGTAGTGAAGCAGCATCAGAGTGTAACATTTCTATCCCTGAGTGGTTTCAAGACCTGCGGGGCTCAAGTCCATGAGAGAGCTGAGTAAGCGTCCTTTGGTTGTCGATCACGTTGAGCTGACGTACGTAGGTCCGAACTTCTGGGTGATTCTTGCTGGCCAGAGGTGAATCTGGACCTGTTTCGATTGGAAAGATTAATAAAAAATTTTGTTTTGTTGTTTTAATCTATACTGGAGCCTGTTGCAACAGCAGTTTTAATCTCAAACTTAGCCTAGTTATAATGTAAATTATTGCTAAGTTGTGATTTATGCATTAAAAGCGGTTGCACCACAGAGGTAAGTTACATAAATCATAAATGGAAATGATAAAACAGCAGTTTTTCTGCCTCAAAGCATCATTATTTTATGTGATGTGTTTATTGGCCACTCACCATACATTACTTTACCTCCAAGGTGCAACCAATTTTAGTAGCTGACAAAGTTACTAACTAATTAGATGTCGACTTTACACCATCATTTAGGAGAGCACTTACACATAACTGGTGCAACCCAGTGCTGTAAAGTATTATTTGTGATCAAACTGTTGGGATACACACTTACTGAATGGTTGGCTCCTACAGTATCTCAGTATCTTCACCGTGTTAGCTATCATCCGCTGAAAGACAAAAGAGCTATAATCAACAACAGATATCGTCTATTAAACAAAGGGCCGAGAAAAGATGTACAACTGTTAGACGATAATCTGCACCCTTTCAGAGCCTCACCATTTTCTCAAAATTGACCAAATTGTCGATACACGTCTTGTTGCCCTCGTGAGTGAACGTCATGTCTGGACGAAAAACAAGGAAACACAGTAAGTGAAGTAAGACCAATTGTAAAGCTTTTGAAGAAGCAATTCAACAACAGAACAACTGACGTGCAGGTCATAATGATGTTGAATTAAAAATAAACTGTCATCAAATAAACGGCTCTGACCTTTGATCAGCAGCGGCATGAAGGGAATGATGGGAGGCTCCAGCTTGGCAACTGTCAGTCGGTACGCCCGGTGGTTCCTGGACGGGTCCTGTGGAAACAATCACACTGTTCTGAGATCTGCCGTCACCATGTTAAACAGATCCATCATGGTCCTGGCAGCGGACGATGCTGCTAAAGCAACACTCGAGCAGCTGACGGTGCAACGATGCTGATTTTCAATTCAGCGTATGCTTGGAGCGAAAACCTTACATCTCAAAGATATAAGACGCACAGTGAGTTGTTTCAACTTACCATCAAGTTTTCAAATTCCCCGTAAAACTTCTTGAACTTGCTGGGAAGTTTCTGTGAAGACAGATGACACTAAAGGTTAACTTGCAGTCAGGATACATTCATTAATTTTGACTGCGGACAGGTACCCACCTCCCAGGTCTGACTCAGCCTGCACACTGCTGGGTTACTCATTCCCATAATGATAGCAAAGAAGGCATTCAGATTCCTGTACTCCTTACAGCTGTGACACAAAACATTAAAACGTAAATTAGAGTAGTTAGAGTAGTTGTAATTAAACTGCAAACCAGTCAAACTAGGTCCACTTACTGGGCGGCAATCTTGATGAACTTCTTGAGAAGCTGCACCCTCTTGCTGAGCTGAGAACACAGACAGATCTCTGTGATCACCCAAAACTGAATTTCATTGAACCTCCTCAGGAACAGGTCCAGGTTCACTGTGGTTTTCTTGACGTTTTGCCTCCCGAATGTGTGGTAGATGAGTTCAAGCTGTAGGAAACCAAAGAAAAACACTGATGTGAACAAAGAGTGGATCAATTGAAAGTAAACTTAACCAAATTACCTTCAATTCATGCTCTAACATTAAAACAGGTGTACTATTAGCATTTTACAACTTTAAAGGAGACAAAATATAATGAATCAGTTCTGCTGATGGCACCTTGTCTCACAGTCATACCTCATGTACACAGTGAAAAAGCTCCCAGTCATAAGAAGTCATGTGGTAAGCCACATCCTTAGAGCTCATTAACTCAAAGCTGGCCAGGAACCCTGCAGAGGGACCCTCCTGCTCAGGTAAAGGGGTCTAGAAACCAAGAAAAAAAAACATCCACTTAGATCTGCAAAATATATTAAAATATTAAAAAGAAGCAAAAGAAAAGACAAGATACTGTAGTGTAAAATACATTAAAAGATTCACATATAAAGATATAAAAAACAGCACAGTTACAAAGTTGCCTAAAAGCTAGCGGGACCCTAAAGGCATGGAAGATAAATACAGTAAACAATATGAAAAGTTACAGCTATGCATGAGGTTTCAGAGGAGCCTCTGTTATATGATGAGAATGTGCTGTGTAATGTGTGTTTCCTGGGGGAGATTAACCCACCAAAGAGTCCAACTGATCCCGCCGGCAGGCAAACAGACGTCCATTTATGCTGAGTGTGGAGAACACTGAAACATCGTTGGGCTTGAAGATGACTTTCTCTGTAGAATAAAAACGTAACACATAAGGGATAAAAAAGGTCCGAACTCTAAAACTACGAGGGTCGCACCCAATCATATGAAAATAACAAAGTGAGGATTCTCTACTGCTGTTTTTATCCACTATTTTTGTACAGACACTCATGGTTCCCAGGTGATGTATCCATCAAACTTCTGTGATTCTCTGACTTTTTCTCTTACCGTGATGATTATGGATGAATTGCAATAACTTCATCTTCTCGTACATCATCAGGTCAAAGTTTCCGACTTCAACTGTCCATTTATAGGCTCCAACTACTCACAAAACTATGATGTTCCCATTAGCTGCAGCTTTGTGTTTATTGCTAATCAATCAAATGTGTTTGCATGAGTACCTAACCTGCAACTTTGTATCCTTGTAATGTTAGCATTTAGCTGCTGCTGCTGTTACTATTGTCTGTGCTTATGTAATTTTGTCTGCCCTCATATGGTTATGACATTGTTTTAATATTTGTCTGTGCTTATGTGCTTCTGTACGTTTTCTTTCTTTGAGTCTTATATGCCACCATCCTGTCAGGGACTGCAGATGAAAATTAGCCTGTATGCCTAAATCTGGCACATTTACATGATGGACTCAAGTGCTCATTTTAATTAATGTGCATTGTCCCTCCTCTGTGCAGATACAGCCGCAAA